TTTTTTTTTTTTTTTTTTTTTTAATTAAAAAAGAGATGATTATACGGTTAAAAATAAATTTAATAATATAAAATAAAATTATTTTTATAATTATTATTTTTATAAGATTTAAGAAAATAAGGTTTAAGAAAAAAATGGTTTAAGACAGAATATTCATTGAATAGTGATATTAATAAAATAATTATTTCGTTCCTTTTATTAGTTAAATTTTAAAAACAGATTTTGATGATCTTTTAATACAAATGTGTGTGGAATATTGCGATAAAATAAAAAATTTTGAATAAAAGTTATTATCCTTAAATAAGTTAGTATCCTTAGATGAATAATTACTAATGCATTTGATAATATTACAATAAGATGACACATGTACGCATCCACGCACACCTGCGTGCAAAGTGAGAGAGAGGGGGTGAGGAAGGGGGAGAGACGGATATTATGCGTCAATGTTTAAATAAAAGAAATCATCCTTTTCAAAAAATACATTAGTATTTGAAAATAATAAAATGCAAAGAGATTTCTTGATATATTCTTGATATATTCCTGTTTATCTGTCTTATTCTTTCTCATATATAAAGTAATCTTCTCTCTTTATATTATATATGTCGTGATTGATCGGACACCCTGTTTTTCGAAGTGTTCGCTTCGATAAATACAAGCAAAAGCATGTATGCTCCGATTTATTCATGCGCCCCATTATTGATTATCGAATTGTGTCAACATCTGGTAAGCATCTCCCACAGGTGTATCTCGGCGGTGATGCGTATGGAAATGTTAGAATAGATACAGACGATTAAATGAAGACTAGGTTGGCAAGTCCGTACGTGCTCTTGGGAAATTAACAAGGGTACATATTAAAAGAAGACAAGCTACCGTTTAAAAACAACGATCTTCTGAAATGCTTATATTGGCACGCATTTCATCGATAATAAATATTTGTAAAATATTCACGGTTATAGGAGAATTATAGAAAAGGATCAATTATATAATAACAAATTTTATCGTTTTTGGAAGAAATGTTTAGCGATATACATATGTACTTAAAAACACATATACGATTTGTAACGCAAACATATTGTAGTTTGCTAGTCGCACAAATATTTTGATACAATTTTCATTTACTTGTTATAAATTATTATTACTAAGATAAATGCTCTTTATATAGTTATTCACGTACATCTAGATACTATTAAGAATGCATTATTTTTCTTTTTTCTAAACTTGGGTTATAAATATTAATTATTAAATTGTATCATGTTGTGACCTAGTACTTTACCTAGCACAAAACCAATATTCAAACACGCATATATTCAATTACGGCAAAACAATTATAGTTATTACTAACAACAAGAGTTTCTCGGTTGCTGTTATATCCTTCAAGGGGAACCATGCGCGTGATTGCGTTCATTACTGGTACAAGGTCTAATTATTACGTCAAGTTTGTTTATCACCGCGTATATATTACGCGTATATTTGTCAGTGTTGTTGAATTGTTATTTCTTCTCTTAAATCCTACTAAATACACACACACATATATATATATATATATATATATATATATATATATATAATTAAATCAGTTATTAAAAAAATCTATGAATATGATATTTTACGTATTATTCTGCAGAGTCTCGAATTAATAGATTTTTCAAATGGAGTGGTCAATTTTGAATAATCATGTTAAAAGAAACTTGTTGATAATCATGAAACGTGCAATGATACTCATTGAAATTCTACTGTATATCTTGACTAAAAAATAAATTTGGATTCTTTTGTAGCGGTCAATATAAAAACATTTATTTTAATATATAAAATTTTAATAAAAACAAGTATAATATTTAAAATGTTATTATTTAAAATGTTATTATTGTTTATAATATTATAATATTGATAAAAAAGTTGTATTAACAAATAATGATATAAATTTATCACTTTTGTAAATTTGAGTGGATTGTTATTTATCTATTTATAAATATTAATGTATTTATAATAAATTCTTTTTTTATGATAATTATATATTATGTTTTTAAAAATATGTTATAATATATTATACTTTTGTTATATTTAAATATCTTTTATTATTTCAATTACTTAAAACATCATATTCTGTTTATAATTTATTGATGCGGATGCAAGAATAAGAATAGAAAGTTAAGTGAAATAAAACATGTCTTTGATTAAGTGCATAATAATTCTAATAAGTTGCATAATAAATTCTAAATAATTCTAATAAGATAATTGTTAGATATAGATAACAATGTTTAATAGTTGTAAAAATATATGTATATATATGTATGACACTGTTTTTCTATATTTTATAAGTGTTTTGATATATATTATTAAAAAACAAATGTTACAAAATTTATATATCAAGATATATTTAATATATCAAGTGTCAAACGCTTTCCATTTTTATACATATAGATTTTATTATTACAATAAATATTATTGCATAAATTTTTTATTACAATAATGAATAATAAAATAATTATTAAAATAGAAATTCTATGAAAAATATTTTTGTCTAAAATTATAAGATTTTATAAAATTATAAGTTTTTCATAAATCAGATTTTCAGAATTTCAATAATATTATAACTATTATTACATTACAACTATTATTACAATACTATTATAACTATTTATTACATAAAACTTAAGAGATCTTCTTTGTAAAAGTATTTTCTTTATTCTCTTTATATTCAACGAGACATAGCAAATTCAAGAAAAATTCATCCCAAATATAGTATCACAACATCATACATAATAATATTATAGATAAGACGAAATGTGATGCAGCTTGTAACAGCATAATAATGTCTATGGATAATATTAACATATAGGTGAGTCGCGTTGTTACCTGAAATTTGAGAAATTCATTTTTACCATATAGGGCAATCTTGCGATATTGTTGGTAAATAAGATATTTCGTAATACAGACGGAACAAAGAAAAAATTGTATCAAGCATCTTGAAAATACTACACGGCTATTGATCTATGAATGATAATTTGAAGAATATATTTTTCTATATATCTATACTACATATCTGGTTTCTTCTTTTATTCAATTTTTCTTCGCAAAAATAACAGTACATTACGCAATTTCAATAAAAATATTATTTCGTAAGAATGTCACTTTTCAATTCACGAGAATATTATTTCATAAGAGAGACAATCGTAAGCTCTCTGTTATTATGATAATGACATAGATACTTCATATGAAGAGGGATTGGACGAATATTGTTATTGAATTGAGAGACTATAGACATTATGATATTGTTGTTCCCTTTCCTATAACATCGTTTAACTTGTCACATAACGTAGAACGAATATTTGATCCAAAGTTTCGAAGTTTCAATAAATTGTTTAAACAAGTCGTTCAAAATTTTCGTAAGTTTAATGTGTAACAAAAGAATATTTTAAATAAATGTTGTAATATTGTTGTAATAATAGAAATTAGATTTTTTACTACTTTTTATTTATTTATTTTATTACTATTAATAAATCTTTATATTCGTATTATTATTCGTATAATTATTGTCATACATGGGTATAATACAACTAGCTAGCAATTACAGAGATAAACAAATTAATATCTTTTAATAAAATATTTCTCAATAATATTGTAAATATTATGCACGCATATACAATTGAAAAGCCGATCTATTAACGGTACATTATCATAATAACTAAAGCTCGTAGTAAATAAGTGAATACATTAATCAAAACAGTGATTGATGTTGGGCAAGTGGATGTTGAAAAGTGATGTTGGAAAGAAAAGCGAAATGCCTGTGTTGAAATTTACGCTCACGGTTTTAGCGGTCGCAGGATGTTGGCGACCAACATCGTGGACATCGTTGTTTAGACATATAATATATAATGCTTACACAGCGTCGATAATTTTAATATTGTACATATTTGCAATAACCCAAATCATGGAGATGGTGTTGAATGCCGATGACAGTGACACATTTGGCGACGCCTTGTTCAATGCCCTAATTTCGCTTCTGGCGTGCTATAAGGCAATTATTATACGAATAAATCATGATAATATTACAATATTAATTGATAATCTCATTGAAAAGCCATTCAAACCGATGGATATAGATGAAAATATTATTCGAGAGAAATTTGATAAGAGAGTAACGTAAGTTATTTTTTTATCTACAATCTAATCTATATATAAGTGTGTATTATTTTGTATGTTTTATATAATACGTATTGTTTATATATGTATTATGTTTCATAACGTAATAATTTTAATTGTATACATTTAACATTTTAATATTACTATAATAACGCTACATTAACGTAGTTGTCATAGAATAATATTTTAATCATAATAACTATAAAATAATAATAATAAAACTTTCCTAAATAAATAAATATTTTATGATTTTCATTTTATAGAAATAATACATTATGTTATATAATTCTCGTCTTGATAACTGCCTCTTATATGATTTTAATTTCATTATTCACGGATCTCAAGAATGGGACTTTAATGTACAGAGCATGGTTACCGTTTGACTACTCAATATCTTCGCTATTTTATCTCGCATATACTCATCAGATAATGGCTTTAATATGTATCGGTCTTGTCCATCCTACATGTGACAACTTAATTTGTGGATTATTGTTACACATTTGCTGCCAGATCGAGATTTTAGAGCACCGTTTATCAAACATCGCGAATAATCGAGGAAATCTGCGCGATTGTGTACGACACCACATACGTATATTTGAGTAAGTTTTTGGACTCTAAAATACTACATGTTTTTTTGAAACAAATATATTCTTATCAACTCTTTCATTCTTAACGCCGGCTATAGTCGGCATCCATATGGTGAATCATAAATACTGGCGCCGTCTCTAGTCGACGCTCAGATAATAATAATTCTGCGATAATAATAATCCATAGTGAATCTTTTGATTTTATTAATATATATCGGGTTAATTACGCATTAAAAATAGTTTTTATATTTTTTCCGTTCGTCAGTGTAATATTTATACAACACAACAACAACAACAACAACAACAACAACAACAACAACAATAATAAGGAAGTGTTATAATAAAAAATCGTTTTTTACATATTTCACTTTATCTACATAATATTATCTCTTCGCACATTTCATTCTATCTACGCAAAATATAAATATTCGCGACGGATTGCTCTATACAGAGGAATCATACTCGCAGTCACATGTTCCATAAAGGAAGGGTTAATCTCTCTCTTTCTTTTGATATAAGTTGAATAATATCTAATTTTTTAATTTTTTCAATTTTTTCTACAATCCACATTTTCAATTGAAAATTATAATTTACATAAAAAAATTAAATTAGTAGCAAATTTTGTGCGCAGCACATTTTGTGCAATTTATTTGTATTCTTCTTAAATATATGCTCTAAAAATGCATAAAATAATGAATTTAAAGAAAAAGCTTAGTGTTTTAGAATTTAGGATTAAAAATTCCATTACTTCTATAATAGAATTA